ATACAAAACGATATCTACTAAAATAGCATGAGCCCAATTAGCTGAGTGTTCGTTTGTGTGTGTGTGTGTGTGTGTGTGTGTGTGTGTGTGTGTGTAAGAAAAAGAAAAGATTGAAAGAAAATATACTGAATGGTAGTTCTCTCCAGAACAGATTATGGAATATTTTCTTTTCTTTATAATTATTTTTCCTCCAGGTTTTCTATAATAAGTATATACACTTCTTATTATCTAAATGTGTATGTATGTTTGTATATGTGGAAACAAAACAAGAATTATATATATAATGTGAAAAGTTTTTTTAAAAGATAATTTTGCAAGTCATTCACATGGAGGTGTTGAAGTCATGGACATAGATCAAATTGCACTGGAAGAGAGTATAATGATGATAATAAGATGTTGGACAGGGCCATGGCAAACCACCATAGTTAAGGGGGCAAAAAGACTGAGTTAGTGAAGGAACATGGGAGAAAGTGGTTCAATTAGAAGACGGGAAAAAAAAGAAGATGGAGAACCAGGTAAAGTCACGTCAAGAAAGCCAAATAAAAGGAAGAACCGGAAAAGTTGTCCACTTGGTCAAATGTTGCCAAGTAGTAAAGAGGAGGACAGTGGCAGGCCCGTTAGAGGAAAATCACTGGATACTATGCATGGACAGACAGATTCCCTCTAATGCTGGAGGTGGAAGCCAAATCTGAGCAAATGTTACCTGTTTGGTAAAACTGACTATGAGGAAAAAAAGTCCTGGGCCATTTGCTTGAATTTCAGTTTATGAAAGAAAAAAAAAAGATTGTAAAAATCTAAAACCAACTAAAAGCATATCAGGATTACTGATCTATGGATAATAAAACCAAAATTGGCAATACTTTGGTGTGCAAGAAAAAACATGTTTGAGGGACTATAAGGTTTTCCAAATAGTAAGCTCTCTTACAGGATAAATAAGGGTGAAAAAAAATAGCTCCACACTGTTATCAGAAGTAAAGAAAAGTGGCATCTTTTTCCCCCCCTAAATATGAAAGTTCTTAATTTCAGAGTAGCATTAAGAAATTCCTTGAGAGAAAATAAAAAGAATGGAAATTTTCATGGTATCATGTTAACTTCTTATGACTGAACATGTGAAGTCTCTAGAAACGTTTTCAAGTATAAAGAAATCATTTGACATGCTGAATAATGAATTGCTTGTTGGGTCAAACTTTGTCCTTTTAATGAAAAGAAGTTTGCATTAGCACAATAACTTGACTGAATCTCAAGGACTTTGCATCCAGCCACAGAATAAACATATCAGTACGGTCCGACCAAAAGTACCATTTACCATAGATCTCAATCCCACAATCATTAAGCAGAAACTACTCAATTTACAACCACTCATTTGTTACTAAAGAACCTTGAGAGTCTGCGCTAAGTAATTTAACATCACCTGAAGATTACTGTACACAATTCAAAATAAAGTACTTTAACTTCCTATCAAAAAACATACAGTGAGGGGAGGCCAGTTAGCTCAGGTGGTTAGAGCGCAGGCTCATAACACCAAGATGGCTGGTTCGATTTCCACATGGGCCACTGAGCTGCGCCCTCCACAACTAGATTGAAGACAACAACTTGACTTGTAGCTGATGGGTCCTGAAAAAACACACTATTCCCCAATAAAGTTTAAAAAAGAAAAAAATATATATTTAAAAAAAACCCAACAACAAAAAAAACATACAGTGAAAGACCATAGCAACCTTAAAAAAAAAAACCCCAAGCCTTTTCTTATGGAAATTCTTGACTTAAGAGCTAAGTTACACATTTTTCTATCTGTGGAAAGAGTACATACAATACCAATCTAAACGAAAGTCATCTATTTCTGAGTGTATGGAATTAAGAATGTCTGAAAACTAGTTTTGCTGTCTACATAAGTAATGGGACAATTCTCCCTATTTGTGGCGAGGTGGCCTTTTATAGAAACGTGTCTAATGATTTCCCACACTCTCTGTGTATATATGTCTTTGTCTGTGTGTATATGTCTTTGAGGAATTTTTTGTACTTGAAAACATCATAAGAAAACAACATAATCACTGTAGGTACCCAAATTACATGCATATATACCTACTGCCTTTCCAAAAATTCCTGGCAGAGACCACTTTCCTAGAGTGCACACAGAAAGAAAGGAGGTAAGCAATGTCCAAAAACTGTGTTCAATAAGTACCATAGCTCAAATTACCAAATGAAACAACCACCATCTGTATGAACTCACAATCTCTATTTAAAAAATGAAAAACAATCATATAGAAGCGACCATGTCATGATCATCCTCTGTATACTAGACACTGGTACACAGTAGGTAATTAATAAAAGCCTGCAGCTATATGAAGATCACTCAAGACTACTATAGACTTCAGATCATTAAAACTCTACAAAGAATCTTCATTTTTCACCCTTTCTTCTTCCACCCATTTACCCACCCTGTCCCTGCCTCCAAAGGAAAAAAAAAAAAGAAAGAAAGAAAAAGACATTTTGAGGGCATCTTAGCAAGGAAAAGTATTCTCTGTCACCAAGATGTGCTGCTAATAGAATTGTTTTCACTTCTGAAGCGTTCTCAGAATTATTAGAAAGTTAAAATTTGGCCCACCTTTAACCAGAGTCTGGAATAAAGTTTGCATGAACCAAGTTAAACAAAGTTACACAGTGGAGCAATTTTTACAAAATGGCACTGCTTTGCTAATGTTGCCAATACACTGTTCTTGTCCCAGCAGCTCTACAGTTCAGGGACTACCTGGTAACAGAACTTTAGGCCCAAAATAGAACAGTGAAAACATCTCCACCAATTACTTACTGAACTGCCACAGAATTAACAACAGGGCCTAATCCCATCTTCAAAAGGCCATAATGCTGACAGAACACAAGGTAAGAAATATGAATGACACAAATACATGAACCCAAGAGAACACTATTACTCAGAGGTTTTTGCTATTGTTGTTGCTTACTTTGTTTTGTTTTCAGGAAAACTAGAAGAGGTAATTAAAAACAAACAAACAAACAATTTTCTGTGCTCCTACAGCACTCTGGGCTGATCTGTAATACAGCACTGACCTCGCTAATACTATCAGTTGTACCTATTGATTTGCCTAAACCATTTGATTTGAAGCTCTTTTATAGTAGGAATGATTGGAACTTTGAATCTACAGTAGGACTGACAAAACAAGAGGCACTCAATAAATGTTTTGTCAAAAACATGAAATAAATTCCTAAAGTAATTACCTACTACCATGCTATGTATTTTTCTATTGATGAAAAACAAGGAAATATGTATGCATGCACACCTTTTTTAAAATTAAATCTTCTCTCCTGATAACTCTATAATTTCTTGAAGGTCTACTTAAAACATGATCATCCTTCCTAACTTCACAAGCTATAGAAATCACAGGAACTTAGAAATGTTTGTTAAGGGTCATCTTCTTTTGTGTCTACATCAGACCTCAGAGGGAAGTGTTATTGCACGGTTTCTAAAACATTTATCATTTCTGAATAGTATTAGTATCTATGCAGATAAAAAGTATTCCATTTAACCACTGAAATCAAGAGCAAAAGAAAGAATACCTCATGCAAAAGAGATCTCTCCTCTAAAGGGGCATTGTCTTAAAGGCTGATAACTCCCTAAGTACCTTGACTAACTTAAAAAGTCAAGTTGATAGAACCATCTAGATAAGGCAGGCTTTTGAAAGCTGGAATTAGGTGAAAGACAATAGTAGTTCAAATATCTCTCACCAAGATCACTAAACTCGTTGTTGTAAGCACCAGTACGAGGGCAGGACGTGCACCAGATGGTTCGCTCCTAGCACCTACAACTTCAAGCTTAGTAGGTGTAGCCAGGGGTGTACGGTTACCTTATATTAACACCTACGTATGTTGGTGACAGGTGCCAGCGATATATACACGATAGCGATTCGGGGATAACACATCCAGCTGCAAGGACTGCTATATTCTCAGCATACCTCAAATGGATATAAAGTGTCTTAAACGGAGTTCAGTTGGCAGAATGGAAGGGGAGAAAAATCAAAGAGGGAAGGAGTGGCTGAAAATGAAGAAAGGAGAAGAGCCGTTGAATATTATAATATCATTTCCCTGGTTATTTTGAATTTTAATTAACTGCCATTCCGCCACCACACCAAAAAAGTATATAGTTAGAAAGGAGTATTCCCGACTGAAGAGGAGAGAGTTCCTATCAGCTCCTGCCTTCAGGCAGCAAAGGCTCAGCCCTACATAATAACTTCCAGCCCTAAAGCAGTACCCAGAAGTGAGGAATGAGCAAAGGATCAGCTATTCTTCCGTCCTCTCTTTCGAAGGGAAGGGTTCACGCTCCTTGTGCCGCCCCCGCCCCAGAAGTCGCGGGAGAAAGAGGGTGTGGAGGGAAGCCGGGGTCTCCGCGCACTCTTCGGCTGTGGAGGATGTGGAGAAAGAAGGGCCTTACCTGGCTAAAAGCAGTCTTTCCCCTGCGCTGCTACCAGCCCTGCCACGGGTCCCAGGTGCTCTGCCTCGCGCACCTGTCGGGACCTAGCCGCAGCACCTACAGCTCCTGCGGCCCCGCCCCGGTCAGGCTCAGAGCCCCGCCCTGGACCCCGCCCACCGCCGCGGGGGCGCGCACGCCAGCCCGCCTCCCGTGCGGCCTTCGGTCGACCGTGCGCGCCGCCGGCTGCGTGCCGTGCCCTCGCGGCTGCTCGCGTTGCTTCGCGGCGAGTGGCCTTGGCGGTGTGAGAGGCGTGGCTGCTTTTCCCGGGGGCTGTGTCTAACTGCACGCTGTTCATTGAAGAATGCACACGTCGTAACTGCCTTGGGCTTTGTGCTTCTCTAGCCTTAACTCTCTGACTGACTGCAGTTTGACTCAGGAGCGACTGGGAGGTTTGTCCTAGGCTCAACTGTAGGCCAGTCTCCCGCCAGGTTCCTGGTGCTTTCGGGGTAAGTTTTGTGTAGGGAGGGTGTTTTTGAGGAAGCCGTGCTGTGTAAGCGAAAGAGCCATACATTACTCTTGGCTCGACTGCTTGACGTTTACCAAGTCGTTTCACCTCACGAGAGCCGAGTTTCCTCACATAAATGAAGGGGTTGGACAAAGGCAGATGTCCAAGTTACAGCAGCTCTAACCGTTATTATTCCTACACTTAGAACAGGCGCTGTGCGAAAGGTTTAGAGGACTTGAAGAGGCCTATCACTTTGGTCATCCTTCCCCACAATTCTTGCCCCAGTTCCCCGCTGCTGCATGAGTGTCCTTTTCTTTCCCTGAACCCCAAGTGTAGTAAGATTTCACACCACAAGTGTTCTGAAGCTTTTCGGAATTCATGTATCAATAGTACTACAAAGGGCTTGTAGTGGTACACGCCTGTATTTACACCTCCTAAAGCAGTTAAGGAAACTTTTTAAGAAGAAAAATTTCCAACAGCAGATGATGGATCGACCACTCAGTTCCCTTCTTCCTTCAAATAAACAGCCTAGACTGATTTCTGGATAGGCATCAAGATTCTAGCAAAACTGGCAGGCAGTGTGGGAATGTAAAAGAGTATGCAAAATCAATATAGGATAATACTCCAGGAAATGCATTCCCTTGCATGTGGAGTTCCCTCTATATACCCCCTCCAAAAAAAAAAAAATCAAGCCAATAAAGGACCTATTCACCAAGAAGCCTAACCTGGGTCAGAGTTTTGGATTTAGATTTGAATCTTGACTGAGCCATTTATCAGCTAGGCAAATTATTTGCTTTCCCAAAGCCCTGCTTGTGCCTTTTTGAAAATAGTACACCACAGTTGGCTTTTACTAGTTTGCAAGTCTGATTGCTAAATTTTTTTGGATTTTATGAGCCAGTTGCTAAGCATAACCACTGTTAAAATTCAAATTATATAAATTTACAGTTAAATATGTTAAAAACAGGGTAGTAAATACTCAAAAACTCATTACTTCTTTTATGATGGACACTACATAATGTATACATCTCTTCCTAGCTCTATTAAGAAGTGTCACATTTGGGGCCAGCCGAGTGGCGTGTTGGTTAGGAGTGAGCTTTGGGACGCCAGCTCTGAGCAGCAGGACCCCGGTTCAGATCCCACATGAGGGCCAGTGACACTGCGCCCTCTACAGCTAAGATGGTGAGCAACAGCTCGACCTGGAGCCGGGCTGCGGTGAGTTGGTGTAGGTTGCAGTGGGGCTGGCCAGCAGCTGGCGTGCACTTGCGGGAGTTGCCGTGAGCCGTTGTCCAATGGCCAGAGAGTGACTGCCTCACCCAGGAAGAGCGCAATGATAATACCAACATGGGCCAGTGAAGCGATGTCCTCCACAGCTAGACTGAAGAACAAAAGGACAGCAACTTGTCTGTTCCCCTTCCCCAATTCCCCAACACTGTTTCCCTCCCCCAATTCCCCAATAAAACCTTAAAAAATAATAATAATAAAATGAAATGAAAGTTGCCTAGTATTCCACAGAAGGAGGTGCATCACTTAAAAAAAAAAAGAAAAAGAAATGTTACATTTGTAGCATGAAATTGGCTGCATCAGGACCTGTTGGCAGCTCAGTGGCAGCTCAGCTCGGGCGCAGCTCACTGGCCCATGTGGGAATCAAACCAGCGACCCTGTTGCTCAGAGCTTGCGCTCTTAACCAACTGAGTCACTTGGCCGACCCTGATTTAAGTTTTTAAATCTGAAAACATTTAAAATAGACACAGAAAATAGTGATATGAGTGGGAATACCTAAGCTAGTGGAAACAAATTTCAAAATTGTTGAATGACCAATCATTGAAGAAAAATCATCATGTTCATCAATGAAAGAGAAAACCTTGTGCTTCCAGCTTGTTGGAATGAAAAGCAAGTGTTTTTATTATAACAGTACAAATGGCTTGAAATAAAAGAATGTAAATTAGAATGTAAAGATTGTTAGATCGTTCAGCATTTAGGACTGACAGCAGAAAAGCATGTCCATGGGTCCAAGAAATGGAGGGCATGTTTTGTAACCCTAAATGGTACTAATTAATAAAACTACTAAGCAAACTTCTGGGAAAAAAAAAAAGAACATCTTTTTAAAGACTGTACTAAAATTTAAGATTTGTTAGAAGAATCAACCAATGACTCAATTTCCAATTTAGTGTATAAATTAAATAATAAAGATATTGATACTATCAGAAGTTTTTAATACTCTATAGTTGAATAAAACATAATGGATCTTTAACAGTGAGGGGGGCAGTAGAATTAAAAGAAAAAAATGGAGTAGATATAGGCAGTTGTTTATATACATGATAGAATGCAAGAAAAGCAGCAGAACACATTGTAAAAGAAATATGAAGATATTTAAGAGTATCACAGAAGAGTATACCAAATATGTACTATGATTGATTACGCTTCTACACTTTTAAAGAAAAGCACCTAGTGATTTATCTTCAGTACACAGTTGAATCAGTTTCTCTACTGGTAATGATATTTTTTACTTTAAAAGAATCGGTGTCAACCATAGCAGAGTGTATTTCTAATACATTATTGTCTGTTTTAAATTATCATGGTATTGATAATGAATATTTTAAATCCAACTTAATTGCATTTTTGTTCTAATGGTGTTTATACAATAGTGGGAAGGAAGTCTGGAGTAGCTACAAGTTTGTTAGAAAATTTTCCTGAAGTCATCATTTGGCACTGGGTAAGTCATTGATTGCAATTCATTGTCTGAAATAAAATAAGTCAATTGTTTAAGAATATTCGGGATAAAGTTTATTCTACTTATCACCCACCCAATAAAAGTAAAATTGAGTTTGAAACTGGAACTAATGAACTTGAAACTGAAATTGTTAAAACTGGTCAAGTACTAGGGTTGAGATGGGTGGCATGTAATTTACAAACTGCCACGACTGTACGTCAGGCATATCCTTTGTTATATATGCACATTATCATTCTTTTTATTAGCTAAAAGAGATTACCTAACATTAATTTCTTGCAAGATTTTGCTTTAATGATTGACATTCTTGAAGAATTTTTATTATTTTCAATTGCATTGCAGTCAAAATTAACTAACATACAGAAAGTAAAAAAAATTAAAGGTACCATAAGAGCTTTGGAAAATTTGAAATTGGTTTTATTAATTGAATTATTTGTCTTATTATTGAGTTTGTAAAAATTATTAATATATTCTTGATACAAATCTTTTATCAGATACGTGCTTTGAAAATATTTTCTCCCAGTTCTGTGGCTTGTTTCTTAATTTTTCTTAACAATATCTTTGAAAAAGCAAAAGTTTTAAGTTTTGAAGAAGTACAGTTTATCAACTTTTTTATGTCTTGTGCTTTTTGCATCCTATCTAAAAAAAATCGTTGTCTAACCCAAGGTCACAAAAATTTTTGCCTAGGTTTTATAGTTTCAGAAGCTTTATAGTTTTAACTCTGACCTATAGGTCTGTGATACATTTCAAATTAACTTTTTGGTATATGGTGTGAAGTAAGGGTCCATCCAGGTTTTTCCATATGGGTATTCAGTTGTTCCAGCACCATTTGTTGAAAAGACTCTCTCCCATTGAATTACTTTGGCTCTTTTGTTGAAAATTAAATGAATATACGTGCGTATTGGTCTATTTTTGGACATTCTGTTCTATTCCATTTAACTACATGTCTGTGATAATCTTTTAATAATTAAAATAATTTATTTTACTTAGGTGAAAAGTATTCTGTAGTTATTCTTGGATATTTAGAATTCTATACAATTTCAATTCTTCCCAAACATCTATTTGACATTCATCAGCTTTAACTATCCATTTCAAGGTGTTTTGAAATGGTTAATTCATTCAACTGGAAATATTTATGTGTATTATGTCCCCATAAGTAATTCCTAAGTAGTAAAGTTATCATTGTAGGGAATATGTAGTACACTGTTTTAATATAAAAGAAGTAATTAGGCATACTTTGCTTATAGCTTAATTTTCTTAAAATATAGAAAAAGGAATAAAATAAACTCTTGTCATGTGGAAATCTTTAAATAACCAAAACTATGTTCTATTAAGGAAGAATGAAAAAATATTGAAAATGTCAAAGGATAAAGCAGAATAAATTCTGCTCTTTGGGAATAACAGTCTCATAAATACCACAAATCAAGGAAGGGGATTTCCTGACTTCTGCTTCCAAGCAATTCCAATAAATGGAGGAGGAAGTGATTTTTCTTTTTAAAAAACTTATTGTTGGCAAGATTAGTGTACTTCCTTTCAATCTTAGGATTTTAAACACATATACACTAATATTCCTGAACTTAATAAACTTTTGGGATTTTTGTCAGATTCTTAGTTCACAAAATGTTAAAATTGTTTCAGTAAAAAGTCACTCTTTTGTGGAAATGTTACAGAGCCAGGGAGATGATGCATTACCAAGAGGGAGGGAAACGCCCAGGCATAACTCTTACGGGGGAGGGGTCCCTTGCCTGGTGGAATGGCAAAGAAAGGCTTTGGAGTCAGAATGTGTTTACATTTCATCCCTGGCATTTAAACACCAGTCAGGGGGGCAAGTGTCTTAGCTCCTCTGTCTCAGCTTCTTCCTTGGCAATAATATTTAGGTGACAGTGTTGTGATGAGGATTAAATTAAAGGACACCTAGTACTCTGTTTAGCATAGAGTACTTATTCAGTAAATATTAGATCCTTTTCCCACTTCTCCCAGTGGTTCCCCATATGGGTTGAGAAGTTTTCTGGAGGTAAATTGCATACCCCACAGTAGAAGCTGATCTATTGGTTCTTCCTCATTCTTTTAGTAAGAGAATGATAGAAGTTTGAAAAGTGCTAGAGAACAGGAGAACATCAGAGCTCCGGGATCAGACTCTAGGATAAGAAACTAGTTCAACAGGAAGTGTGCACTGTCAGACCCTTAAGGATCATATGCTCAAGGTGTCCAATCCCATCTCACATGTTTAATACCTCAAATGTCACTTGATGGTAGAACACTCTCTAGGGAACTCTGTGAGAACAGTACCCAGCTGTAGTGGAAGGCTGACCTGAGAGCACCTTTTAGTCTTTCTCTAGCCTTCTTTGTCCTCATGTAATTTAATTATGTCCTCTCTTGCTGCAGCTTTTAAATTCAAAGACACTTATTATTAGTGTCTGTCACCTTAAATTACCAGATTCTGGCCCTCATCATCTCCTCCCACCTTTATCCTGTGAAAGAGACAGTGGTACTGCCTAATTTAAGTTGCTTCTGGTTCCTCCTCTCTGCTCCCCCAACACACCTGCCCTTTCACAATTAATTTTATTCATAAAGGCAGGAAAAACTTTTCAAAATGCCCTGGCTATTTATTGGGAAGATCTCCATACCCCTATTGGCAAAGAAAAGCTTATCAGTTATGTTTGCAAATATCTTAATGTGCTTTTGGGATACTGCAGAAAAATTATCAATTTTTATTTTGAGAATATCTGCAAAAACACAAAATACTCTCAATCAGTTAGACTGGTCATACTAACTTATTGTTATGTCTGAGTTACTATTCCCATTTTATTGAAGAACAAAATGAAGCTTAGACTTTCTGTATGCTGTTTATGCACTGTATTAGGCACTGAGAATATAAAAAGTACAAGATTTGCACATTATACTTAAGTCAAATAGAAAGCAAGCAAAGATTAGAATTCAAAGTCCCAGGATGGCCAAGTGGCGCGTTGGTTAAGAGTTGGCTTGGGATGCCATCTCTGGGCAGCAGGGCCCTGGTTTGGATCCCACATGAGGGCCAGTGACGCTGCGCCTTCTACAGCTAAGATGGTGAACAACAGCTTGACCTGGAGCTGGGCTGCCATGGGTCACCGACAAAGGGGTAGGCTGCAGGGGGCTGGCCTGCAGCTGGCGTGCACTTTTGTGAGCTGCCATGAGCAGCTAGGAGCGGCCGTCCAATGGCCCGCGAGCAACTGCCTCACCAGGGAAGAGCGCAATGATAATACCAACATGGGCCAGTGAAGCAACGTCCTCCACAACTAGACTGAAGAACAAAGGGACAGCAACTTGTCTGTTCCCTTTCCCCAATTCTCCAATGCTGTTCCCTTCCTCCAATTCCCCAATGAAAAAAAAAAATTCAAAGTCCCTAATTCTGGTTTTTTTGCATGTACAAAAATGCTATTATTATAAAGTGCATTGGATCTATCTCAGGCATAAAAATACACAGAACTCTTTCTCTGATTTTATATATATATATATATATATATATATATATATATATATATATACACATATATGAGATATACTCATATGGATATATGTATGTATATTTAACTTAAAGTAACACCTATCAGATATTGTATTTATTGATTGGTTTCTAAAAGCTTATTCTTTATTCTGCTCCTTTTGTTGATGCATAAATTTGAGCCTGCTCAGAAGTACATATACACTTTTTTTATTTTTTTAATATTTTCTATTATAGTATCACTTAGATGCAACACCAGTAAAACACTCAGTCATTAACCCTTTTCTGGAAGGAGTTCTAGTAGGAAGAAATAATTACATGTCTGTGTTGTTTAAGCCATTGTTACATGGATATTCTGGTACAGACATACCTCATTTTATTGGCTTTGCTTTACTGCACTTCACAGATATTGTGGTTTTTACAAATTAAAAGCAAGACCCTCCACCAGCAAAAAGATTACAACTTGCTTTACTGGGATACTCAATTGATTTTGATACTCGCTTTGTTTTGATGGTCTGGAATGGAACCCACAATATCTGTGTTTACTACTGAAAGCATCATTAAGTAAATTTGGTGTGCAGTTAACGCACCTTGACCTAGATGGCTTTATTTAGGTGTTCTTCCAGATTTTCAAAGACTAGATCATTTAAATCTTAACTCTTCCAGACCTTAGAAAAAATGAAAATATTCCTCAACTCTTTCCATAAGACTGTGAAAGCCTTGATACCAAAAACAGGGGGAGAAAGAAAATTAAAGGCCAATCTTATTATTATAAACACAAATTCTAAATAAATTATTAGTAAACTGAATCCAGCAGTGTATTAAATAGATAATATAATATGCAAGATAATAGATGGGTTTATTCCAGGAATGCAAGGGTTGTTTAACATTCAAAACAAAACAATACAAACATCAATGTGAATTACCATATTAACAGATTAGAGGGGGAAAAGATATGATCATCTCAATAGAAATTGAACAAGCATTTGAATTCAGTATCCATTCATGATAAAAGCTCTTAGCAAACTAAAAATAAAAGTTTCCTAATTTGTTAAAGGAAATCTACAAAACACTTAAAAGTGAACATCATTTCCAGCATTAAAAGTTGAGAAGACTTCTCTCCAAAACCAGGACCAAAATAAAGATGTCTACTATTGGATCACTTCTAATCAGTATTTTACAGGAAGTCCTAGACGGAGCAGTAAGTCAAGGAAAAGAAAGATATACAAGAACTTAAAAAAAAGAAACATTGATAGGAATATACTTCATAGAAAACGCCAAAGTATATAACCGTAAATTATTAGAAATAATAATTGAGTTTAGCAGGATGGCTGGGTATAAGATCAATGTACAAGATCAATGTACATTTCTAATACTTCAGCCACAAATGGTGAGAAAACTTAATTTAAAATGCCATTTACAATAACATTAAAAATAAAGTATGTAGGAATAAATCTAACAAAATGTGTACAAGATACAAGGAGAAATATTAAATTTTGTTGAAAACATTAAAGAAGATATAAATGAACAGAGAAATGTACCATGTTCATGTATTAGAGGAC